TCAAATACTTATTCACTTGGCAAAATTTCATGAAGAGAGTGAAAAAAACGAATGGAAAAACAAATGTAAAAACTTCTGGATATAGCTAAGTGATGACAAGTCTTTCTGAGTAAAATATTTCAGAAAATTTTGAGAAAAGTTTCACCTGACGAATTTTTTTTTCAAAGACAAATACAAGAAAATAGAAAACTTAAAAGCGACAAAAAGCGGTAAACTTTGACAAAAGACCTGAGTCATGATCACTGACGAACTGGCCTAATGGCGCGTTCGGTTGTCATGTCACATTTCACAATCAAACGCATTTGCAGCGATCCTTTTAACGGATGCATCAAATTGAAAAATGACCTTACCATCTTTCATGCGTATAATACTTCTCCCACTACCAGAATCACTAGCAACTAGGACAAAGTCGGGACCTTGAATTCCTATTAAACACTCCATGTTGCTTGCTGAAAACCACACGATGACTTAGCGACCGAGCCGTGAATCGCGGGCTTATATTCAACACATTCGCTCACTTAGCATGCGTACTCTCGACTATGACAACAAAATGGCAGTCAGAGGGAGGCTTTGACGTGACATTCGTAAACCAATCTCGTGGTTAAAAGTTATCAATTTATGAATATGCGAATTGTAACTTTCAACCGCAAGATTATTTTTGCAGGACTGCTTGCCTGCCTCGTAATCGCAATTATATGGACAATATCTCGCCCAACAAGATCTACCACTCATGATCGTTTCAAAAACGGAAAAACAAACTCTATAAGGAGATTTCCTACAGTGAAGAGCACAGAAGAAATAGTTGCAACTGTACTTGTCATCGCCTGCAACAGACCAGAAGTGGAGAGAAGCCTGGACAGTTTACTGAGGTTTCGAACATCGGAAAGAAAGTTTCCCGTGGTTGTCAGCCAAGACTGCGGACACGAGGAGACAGCTCAAGTTATAGCCTCTTACGGAGACAAAATCATGTATGTAAGACATCCCGACGTATCTGATATCACTGTGCCAAAAGGTTCAGATAATTTAAAGGGATACTACAAACTATCAAGACACTATAGATGGGCTTTATCGCGGGTTTTTGATGTGCTTCATCAAGATACGGTTATTGTTGTTGAAGATGATTTGGAGATTGCTCCTGATTTCTTTGAATACTTTGAGGCTACTAAAGCACTGCTTGACAAAGACCCTACACTGTGGTGTGTATCAGCATGGAATGACAATGGTAAAACTGGCAGGGTGAAGGGTAATGATTTGCTCTACCGAACTGATTTTTTTCCTGGACTAGGATGGATGTTGAAAAAATCTCTCTGGGAGGAGCTGGCACCTAAGTGGCCTGCAGCTTTTTGGGATGACTGGATGCGGCATCCAGAGCAGAGACATGACCGTGCTTGCATTCGTCCTGAGATACCTCGAGTGGTGACATTTGGAAGGATAGGAGTTAGTCGGGGCCAATTCTTTGATGAGCATCTTAAGTATATAAAATTGAACAATGAATTTTACCCCTTTACAGAGAGAAATTTGACATACCTCATGAAAGATGTATATGATCCCAGGTTCATCAATACAGTGTACAAATCACCATTAGTTTCATTTGATTATTTTCACTCAGGTCATGTGATGCCTGCTCCATCAGTAAGAGTTCAGTATGAATCTGAGGAAACCTTTAGGTCATTAGCAAATCAGCTAGGAATTATGAACGATATTAAGGCAGGTGTACCGAGAATGGCATACCGAGGTGTGGTCAGCTTTATGTACAAAAATCTGAGAGTTTATCTAGCACCACCCAGAAATTGGAATGGATATGAATACCATGATTGATTCTAATTAGAAGTACTCCAAGATGTGACAGCTATGTTTTGACAGTTAAAAATGAACCTAAATTAGATTTTCTGGATGTAGTTTGCTGTACAGAAAACTATGTTCAGAGCATAGGTGACTCTGCAGTTTATTTTGAAGAATTTCACTTGAAATTTTTTCCAGCTCCATGTTAGCCATACAGTATATGACCTGCATATAGATAGTTTTGTCCTCACACTTGGTAAGTTGCTGTACCGAGAGGGTACTCTGTGGTATACTATTTCCAGTGAGGGGAGGGAAGGAAGGAAATCTAGATAAGAACTATAGTTAACTGTTTTAAAAGTAAATAATATATATGATCACCTTTTTTAAGAGAAACTACTTAAAGATAAGTCAAAGTAATTGATTTATTGTACAATTTGAGAAAGGTTTAATTACAGGTTTTTAAGATTTTGCTTCAATAACCAAAGCAATAATTTATTTTAAAAAAATGATTGTATGAAATCAGTCTAGCTGGTGTATTAAGGAGAAACTATTATTGACTAATTGAAGCAATTGACTTTTTATACTGTTTGAAAGAAGTTTGACTACAGCTTTAAAGATTTTTCTACAATGTTATGGCTATAAATTATTATAAATATTTGCTTTGTTTGGAAACCAGTTTTTAAGGTGAAACTTTGAAAACCATGAACACAAAAAATATTAGTGTTTTAGAGAAGAGGCTTATTAAGTTGAAGGAAAAAATGGAAACAGCAAGGGTGCATACTTTGTGGCTAGAGGGTTTCTGCCATATTTTAAACTTGCCTTGTAAGCATGATTGATTAGTACAACAATGACCTGTTGGAATAAAATCAAAATGTTCACTGTTTTTCTAAGTTTCACAGTAAGAGAGATTTTTTTTTGTAGAGCAATGTGCTTTTCTAATGATAAGTTGTTACAAACTAGGGAAATATAATTGCTAAACTGGAATTTATAAGAGAGATTATTACATTTACAGAAATATAATATGCTATTTTTGTATTTTTGAAGTGGTGACAATTTAAATGGAGATACTTATTGCAAGTCTCATAAATAAAATACATTCCTATTTGTCTCAAGAATAGAGGTAATTCAGAAAAATATCAATGGAACAAACAAGCATTTCCATTGATACAACATTAAAAAAAGGAATAATACATTTGTTTAGTCCACAAGCAAGCTCTGTTGTACTTTCTTTCTTAGTACTGTGTAAGTCTTCTTCATAAATTTTTTTTTAATTCATGATGCATGAGATATAGAAAAAAAATTTGAAAAAAAAAGGGGAAAAATGGAATGCCAAGTCCTAGAGTTCCTTGTGTGTTGGGTTAATCAACTGGCTAGTCGAAATCTAATTATTTTAAAACCATTACTTACTGAAGGATTTGAGGAATGGAAAAACAACTTTTTTTGTTTCATTTTAACTTTTTAGAAACACTAACAGTTCATATGCAGATTATTTCAAAGTTGGTCCCTCCATATTATTTTTATCACACACAGGATGATTACGACGCGATACACTGCAATTTTGGACCAATCAGTGCTTGTGTACTTCTCTAATCATAAGATCAATTTTACAGATGGTAATTCAGTGCACGCTAAAATTGGCAAATTGGGCGAAAATAAAAATTTACGTTAGACGCAACCTAAGATTTCGATCAGTCTCCGATATCTCTCGCGTCAAAAAAAAAAACAAAACAAAACGAAACGAAACAAAAAAACTCTCAGTACGAGATCGGTTCACATGACTGCGAGGACTGAACACAAGAACATTTGTTGCTAGGAGACCAAGATCCCAGGAGACGCGGGCGCAGAAATTTACATACGGCTTTCGTGAAGTGATGAAGGTTCGTCCGGCCGGATGAAATGACCTTCAGCCTTCCGATGTTATCTGTGGTTCCTCCAATGGATTGCTTGCTTTGGGGTTAACTCCAAAGCTTGTTCATGGCACAAGGCGGGAAAAGGAATAACTTTGCTCCTCGTACAACCTGCGTTTCGCCGCTGTGGAAACATTCGACCTCGAACAATGTGGTTACGCTAAGAATGCGACCATCTCAAACGGCGTTTACTTCATTAGATACCTTTATGGCAGCTCACAGCCCCCGCCGATTCTGCGAAGCAAGACAGAAATACATTTTAAGTAAGTATCTAATCAAAATTCGCGTTCAACTCTGTCCTGTCACCGTCAAATGACACAAAAACGCAGACATGGAAATGTAATTTGAACACAATAGAGACACTTGTCGTCACGAAGTACAACTGATGGCATGTTTGTTTTGGTCCACGTAGAACCACTTACTGTAGAGAAGAGAATGGCGGATACTGGATATGCACCTGTCCAACAGAAAACAAGGAATAATTCAAGGTTAGTAATTATTTCTACGGTAGGAGATTGTGATTTTTTTTACGACTCCTGAAACTTGCACGAGATCGCTTAACCAAAGTATTTTGTTTAGACATAGTAAGAATACTTTTAAGTTCCGCAAAGCAAAGATTTTTTCTAGAACATTTGTTGATTGAATTTGGTTTTGTTCGTCATTTCATCCTTTTTTCTTGGTAAAAGGTGGTAAAGCAAGTTTTCGTCATCGATCCTTCCTTCGAAACACCATTTCGAATTGTACGTGAAAATTGTTCCGAAGAACCGTGAACCGCGATTTAACTTGACTAAGAGTCAACGCGATAAATCGAGCTAAATCGACTTTTCATAGCAGAGAAGTTGTCTCATTACCCAACGAACCCTGACCTCAACATTTCGTGGCTAAGTACGGACCAGAATTTGTAAATCTCTGACGAATGCACATCCAAGGTTGAAGGAGTTAAATTTCACATGGTACTTGTATTCTTGCCGTGCGAGGTTCGAAAAAGGTGGTTTAATCTTAGGTCTCCCATTGAAATTAATTCTAGTATATTGAGCTGTAGTCTTTATAAAGATTTCTTTTTTTTTTCAAACCAAATTTGAAAAGAGATAAATCTGGTGTTTGCATGGCAACAACAGAATGCCTTCCTCTTCCGTTTGATTAAAGTTTAATTATGGCTCATTTGCACTTAAGTAAAAATAATTGAAAGCCAATTATTAGTACGTTCTTAAAAAGGTCAAAGCCATTAGTTCATAGATGCTTCGCCAAATAGCAACTGAGAGTATAGTAAAACTTGTAGGAATCATACTCCCACGGGATCCTTTCTACTGTTTTTTTGATAAGTGGTGTCTGCTAAATACAGCTTTCATTGAGTATATTAGTGTTTTAAATAAGGATAATTGTACTGGCACCCAATTAAGCACCTTTACCTCAGTAATCTTATAATAAGTGGAACGTCTATTAAAAATGGCAAAAAGTATTTTGTGATGAATCAAGAGCCAGGATGGGACTCTTTCAAGTTCGTGTAAATGTGATGATGAAGACAAAATAAAATGAGACTGGGGAATGGTGGAAAAGAAATTCAACATTAGTAAGAAGCTGCAAAAAAGGTGTTGGCAGATTAAGCTTTTATGGGGTCAATGAACAGGAGGTATTTTCAATTAATGCTTAGGATGGATCACTCTGAAGGGAGGAGCTAAGGCAGTGTATACATTTTGTAATATCCTGCGGAGATGCTAAAAATATTAACAATTTCATGGTTGGTTGCCAAAATGACACTTCATAACAACAGAATGTTGACAAGTGATTTATGCTGGGCAAACAATGTGTTTTGAGAAACATTGTTAGAGATCTAATAATGCTCTGACAGTTACTATTTTTGTTCAAAATAAAATAACAAACTGTTTGTTGCTTCTCTAGTGAACCACAGATAAGTAACAATGTCCATCAGAGACAGATGGATGTAACACAAAGAAGCCCAAATGGCAACCTACCAACGGACAGCAGCAGTGAGGGGGAGAATGGCAACCAAAGAGTTTTACCTCTGGGAAAATGTAATATAAACAATGAAGATCTTGGATCCACTGATTTATACAGAAGTAGCTTCTTTCGACCAGGACCTAAACTTCCAGTGACATTCAACCGTAGTGCTTCATCAATTCCCACAATGCCTCACAGCGCAAGTGATCTAATAGCTATTGGAACAATACCCATAACAACTCATAGACAGACTCCAGTGAAACCCATGTCCAGGTAAGATTTACTGTACAGAAAAATTAACACTACAAATTGTCTCAGAGTGAAAAAGGTCTCAAAGTGATAACCTTGTCTTCTTTGTTGGACAGCACCTAAATTTTGTTTAAATAATTAGATCATGGTATTTACAACTTAGTGAGCATAACTGTGACATGAGCAATTGGGCATAAGTGACTATGGACTGAATCAAAATCCTCTGATAAACTGTGCTTAATATTCTGGTGAGGTTCACAACATGATTGATGGGATTTTAAAATCCAATGTCTACGATGAAATTACATCTCGGTCATTGATATGTTATGGAAATGCACAGTAATGTAGAAATAATTTTAGATCACTCATTTTTGTGCCATTACAGTCTTGTTGAGGCAACTTCCAGTTGGACAGATCATCATCCACTTATAAAATCAAATAAGAAGGAAAAGATTGAGCTCTTGTTAGTTGTCACTTCAGAGGATTTTAATGAGTTGTATTTATTTATTGCCAACACCTGCACCTTTGTTATAGGGTATCATCCTCACACAAACCAAAACACCAAGGCAACAAAAATGTGGCAACACAAATGATTTAATGAGAAGATTACTTCAATTTTCCTCAGCCGAGCAACATTTTGGAATGGAAAAAATTGTCTAATTTGCAAACAAAAACACTGACAGAAAATACATCAGATGTTTCGTTGCAACTCAGACAACCTCCTCTTGAGGTCTGGGGCCACTAAAAAGTACACACTTTGAGCAATCCATGAAATTTTCTTCAAAGATATGCTAATTTTTTTTAAATAGAAACTTTCCTTGGCTTTCCATGACTGTAAACAATTACTAATAATTTATTATTAATCCAGTGGGTAGTATTGTCCATTCTCTCAACAACTTGATTGGGTATAAAACATGCAATGTGCTTAACACCTCATTAGTATTAATTTTTCTTTAAATGCTACGTAACCAAAACTTAAACATTCAAAATAAAATTTTCTACAGGTAGAATCATTTCACACCCCTGGGGTCAAAGTGTTGTTGAATCAACTCTCATTTAAACAAAGAAAAAAAATTAATTCACTAGACAAAATATGAAACCCTAGGTGAAATATTTGTACCCTCAGGCAATAAGTGGTAATAAAAGTCACACTTGAGCCATGATATAAAAAAGTTTTTTCAAGACATCCACTCTTCCACTGTTTTAAAAGGGTCAGAATTGCATCAAGGTTTTAAAAGCATAGCTTAGCATAGCTTTTAAAGAGTCTAATTGCTTCACATTTATGAAAGAATGTTTAGCATCAGTCATGTTGTTGACAAACTTTGATTAACATAATTGTAAAAAATGTGTAATTAACTTTTCAGATCTTCATCTGAAGAGGAAATTCAACCTCTACAGAAGTCAAAACCAGGAGGATTGTTAGTTTTAATTTCTATAATTTTATTTAACATTGTATCAATATCCTTCAAAAACTTGAGACAAATGTTCACTGATGAAATAAAACGTTATTAACCATAACATTTCTAAAGTAAGCTTCATTGTAAAACTCAACTTAAAATTTAACATCAAAACAAATCATTACCTAATATTGATAATTACTATGGAACATGCAAGAATGTAGGCATCAAAATACTAACTACATTCTGTATAAATTTGAAAATAGATAATCAATTTTGTAAGAACTATAGCTGAAGCAAATTACTGTAAGTCCTAAAAAAATTTATTTTTGGAATCTATGATCCTACAACTGCACTTGGAATGTTATTTTAAAAGTAAGCTAAATATTTGAGTCCTACAAAACTTTTTACCTTTGGAATCATACATCTGACCCTCAAGCAATGATTTTCACAACTGGAATAAGTATTTATCAAATACTAAATGAATAATTTTTAACATTTGTTGGTTTGTTGGCTAATGTTTCCCTACATTTTTATTTTTTTATCTCAGACAGATGGAGCCATTATTTGGAGCAGCCTCTCCAAAATATATCTGTA